CGCACCTTGTCCAGGTAAGAAGCCAGGCGGTCATTAAGGTTCTGCATGGTCAGCTTTTCATCATAGGTGACAAATACGCCATCTCCACAAACGCCACCACCACCAAAGCCACCACCGACTGCACCACCAAAACCACCACCAAAGCCACCACCGACAGCACCACCAAATCCACCTCCATATCCACAGCGGGTGCTGCCACCACTGAACCCAATGCTGGAACAACCTCCATAGCCGTATCCTGGGTGACCTCCTGCTAAGACACCTCCATAGCTACCTCCAGAAAAGCTACCAGCACTCAGTCCTGCTCCACAACTCGCACCACCACTGTAACTCCTACCCGAAAATCCTCTACCACTGCCTATCCCATAGGAGCTATATCTTCCAGAAGAGACTGAAGAAATCCTTCCTCCACCACCGCCTCCAACTGCACAGCTACCACCACTACTCCTCCCTTTGGTAGAGAGAGTAACAGTCTGCTTGGTGCTGTAGCTCATAGCGACAGCGATTAAGAATCCAACCCAAAGCCCAAAGCAAGAGGCACAGCTTAATATGAATTCAGACTGCAGAGTTTCTATCCCCACAGGTCTCTATTTATACCTTCCACAGTGAGTGTCACCAGTCGGGTGTTTCTCCTTCCCATGGGGCTGACTAGTCTTGCTGTTTATGCCAAGAATAATTTCCCAAAGGCAGTTTCCCTCCAGAAATCCCAGTACACAAGGAATTTAAGTTACATGTCAGCAGTTTGTTTCTAAAATACACTCGCAATGATGTTTTATGAATCATCAGCTTTTCCTTATGATGAAAACTTTACAAGAAGCCAGGAAAAAACATGGCCCTAAATTATATGCAGGGAATAAATCATAGAACATATTGCAACAGAGAACTCTTAATCTGTAATTATTTTATTTTCATTTTTATTTTGTCTTTAATAAGCATTTTTTTCATATGAGATGCTGCGGTGTAGATATAGAAGATCAAAATGAATGAATGAATAAATATGGAGTCTTGCTCTGATAAAGTGAAAACCTCACTGTAGAAGGATCTGACGCACCATGATATAAATACTCAGGTCTGCTCCTTGGCACAGTGGCAGATACTAGGTCCAGTAGAGTCCTAACAAAGCTCTGAGAGCTTGGACACCACTACTGCTATAATATACAGGGACAAACTAAGAGGATTCAGAGAACTGGCATACTACCCAAAAGGGCAGTGACATTTGCCCAAGAGGAAATCTTAATGATGGGATGCTTTTCTTTTCAAGTGCACAAACACTCAAATTCTCTAATAGATGGAAATTTTCAAGCAACTATTAGTAGTAATTGGCCTTTGTCTCACAAACAACCAATTAGGCCTTTAAGGAAGATGTTATGATCAACCCTCATTTATATAGTCTGTGGTGCTGTCAGAGAAGACAGAGAGGGTGTCAGCTGCCACCCCAGAAGAGAGGGGCTTCTTTGCGAAAGAGTTAGAACTATTTACAGCCAGCCAGAACCAGTCAGCTCTGGACAGTCAATAGTCGCCAGCATGAGATATTGTGCTAGGGATCTGGAAGCCCTAACATGGAAAATTAGGAGCAATCAGGAACTCTCTGTACAAAGAGAGGCTAAATAGTGTTGCCTGAATGAGAGAGAAAGAGATTCCACATTAGAGAAGAAAGGGTTACTGAAAAACTGCTTGCTGCTGTGAGCACCTAATCTCCAAACCCTTCTCCCCTGGAAAGTGGTGTGAGATTAAACTCCTATTCACACTTCTCAAACCATCTCATATTTACTGGTAGGATTAGCTGTCTCTCCTAGGCGTTTATATGGCTCCCATCACCACAGCATTCCAATTGCCTTTCAAGTGTATGGATTTATCCACATCCCATCCATGTGAGCTAGGGTACTATGCTCTCCACTAACTGATTGATTGCTTGATTGATTTAGATTTTAAATAATGAAAGGGATGCCTATCCAAGGCTGTAGGCATCCTGACACATTCATTACTTATAGAGTACATGGAAATCCCAGCAGCATTAGAATAATCCTTCCAATAGGGCAGTGGGATGAATACAGAAATGACTTGCTCCAGCTCCCAGAGTGAAGCTGTGGCTGAGCCAGGAATTGAACCCAGAGCTGCTGAATTAGGCTACGGTGTCTTAAACACAAGCCCGACCTTCCTTCAGATCTGTGACTCAGTCCAGCCCCACATACCACTCAGCAAAGACTCACTCATGAGTAAGGAGGAAAGGGGTAAGGAGGAAAATCTGATTTTCATCACTTGCATTGTGGAGTACAATTGGAGTCAGGGTGAGGATCTGTGGATGAAAATAAATGAATATAATGTTTTTGTTGCTGGACTCAAGCTTTGGTTGGGCTGTGTAAGATATCTGAAATATGATCCAGCCACAATCCACAGCAAGCAGTGTTTCTGGATGAAGTTACATTCTGCTTCCTCTTTCAGAGGTGTCTTTTTAGCACTGCAGAGTTCCACTTTCTTGCCAGCGCATCTGGTTGCCTGAATTACATGCAGCACAAACAGAGGTTGATTGTCAATTCCACCTTCAGTATTATAGGAAGATCTTTGTACATTTGCAGTTAGCTAAAGACTCCGTTGCTTGACATACAGGCCCTGCCATGGATCACAGAGGGAAATGCATTTATGTTTGCTACTCATCTCATTAACTCCGACTCTGTCCTGCTCTCTGTGACAGCAAACTGTCCTTTTGCTTCAAAACTTGCAGCATCAGGTGTTACTGTTTTTCCCACCAAAATGATTGATTTCCTGTTGCACCTTCCCACCGAAGGCTTTTTATAACAATGGGCAGAGTTAATTTTCAGGACATCGCTCTCTCTTTCTCTGTCTGGTTCTTTTGTTCATCAAAAGTCCACTGTAGAATATTTTCTCTAAGAGCCCTGTGTGCTCCATGAGGAGGGTGTGTCCAAACCAGCAGAACTTTCTTTCGTAAATATTGCTTCCGTGATGTTTCTGCAACCTTGTTATACATGATTTTATCTTGTCACTTGTCATAATTACCTTCTACAATTTGCATAATAGCTGCCAGGCGTCGTCTATTAAATTTTTCCAGTTCTTTGATGTGCAGACAGAGAGTAAGTTGGAAATCAGTACTCTACAGTAAATGTGGACTTTGATTTTTGCATGTGGGTGTGAGATACTGTGCTGATTGCAATTTTAGTGTTGCAACCTTTCAAATTCAGACTATGCCTTTTTATTGGGTTAATGATTCACAGGTCAGTAATCACCGTGTCTGACAAAATTCGAAGCATGTAAATGAAATCTTTACTAGGCTGAATTTGGCATCATTGATTGTGGTCCTAGGTCTTAAATATACCTTCCAAGGTGCCGGTTTTGTACATTACTTCAGTTTCTCTCACACTGGTGGTTAGTTCGTAGCTTTGAGTTATCTCAGCACATTTGTTAGTGATGCAGTGGGGGTGTGGTAGAGCGTGTGCAACAAGAGCAGAATCATCTACTCACAGAAGCTCATCCTTAACCTCCTCGATTTCTTGTCTGGAGGCTTTAATCTGCTTGCAGAGTCTGCCGCTATTTCACGATGCAATAAAAATTCCTGCCATTTACACACTGGGGGCATCATCATCGATCGATCATCATGGCAAAGAAGAATCCAAAGAAACTTACATTAGGGAATACCGGGAAGAATGAAGTGGGAGTGAAGGCACAGCTGGTTCACCCTCCTTTTATATTTTCTTGCTGGGATGTGTGTGCAGTGATGGATTGGAATAGGAGACCATGCCGGAACCTGCAGCAGAACACGGAATTGTACTGGCAGAGCACTGTGTGAATGTGGGAAGTGAGCAACAGAGCTGCACTATTTAAAGTGCTTGAAACACCTGACATTAAGGTGGTCAGTTCAATGCAGATAGATAGATAGATAGATAGATGTGTACCCAACTTGCTGTTTCTTCTTAAATTATTCTTTTATTTATATTTAAATTTTATACAAATATTGTACAATACATTTATGATGTTTCATTCATATGACTGCCTCACAGCATACAGCATTTACAACCATTGTTACTAAGCAAGTGTTAGACTAGGTGTGAAATATTATTTTTATTGCAGTCGTGTATACAGATCCCATACAAGTATAGAAGCCCTATTGTACTAGGCACTGGACAAACAAACAACACGAGGACAGTCCCAGCCTTGAGAGCTCACAGCCTGAGGGTTGGTAATCACGATGGGAGTTTACACTTGCATACATTTTTACAAATGTTACAAACTGTACAATAAATAAATATAGACTATCAGATCTACATCATTAAATAGACTTTTATGGAGAATTTAGAGTATCTACTTCATACCATAAAATACACGAGTATTCAAAAAATCTAGTATAAACATAGTCTTGTATAATTGTTTGCAACATGCAGTATTTCATGATGATTTCAAACCTGTGACTGGTGGTCTCCTCTCAGTCTATGTCTACACTAGCACTTACGTCGGTTTAACTTATGTAGCTCTGGGATGTGAAAAAGGCACCCCTCTGAACGATGTAAGTTACACCAACCTAACTGCCAGTGTTGACATGCAGATTGCTAGATAGATTAGACAGTTGTCAGGAGAGCTTCTCCCGCTGACAGAGCTAGTGCCGCCGCTGGCGGGGCTGGAGTCGTTCTCTCCCGTCAGCTTAGAGCAGTTACATTACAGAGCTTACAGCAGCGCAGCTGCATTGCTCCAGCTGCACTGTTGTAAAGGCTCTAGTGTAGCCATATCCTCAGTCACCTCATTCACACCTTGTAGCATCTGTTCATTTGTCCCTACAGAGATTTCTTTTTAATCCGCGTTCATTTCTGCTCCCCCATGAATGGGCGGCTGATTCTGCCTCCCAATGGGAGCACAATTCATTATAACCACAACTGTTGGCATCAATGCTGACGGCTTCCCAAGATCCATTCTGCACTGAGCCTGGAGACTCCTTCCTTATGCGCTGCCCACACTCCTTCCTTGTTGTTCTCTTTGTCTTCTCCTACTTGCATCTCAGTGCCTTTGCTCATGCTGCCTCCTACTCTTGGAACAGCCTCCCCGTCTCGCCGCGCACCAAACAGCTTCACTCCCCCTTTAAATTCCTCTTCACAACCATGACTAAGGCTACATTTAGGTCATGGAGGTCATGGAAGTGACGGAATCCGTGACGTCCAGAGACCTCGGTGCCATTCTCTGCTTCAGCCCCAGGGGCTGCAGGGCTCTGGAGCTGGCAGGCAGTGGCAGCAGGGACAAGGGACAGGGCCCCCTGCAAAGTGCCAGCGACAGGTGACAGACTCCTGAGGGGGCCCTCCTCAGGGTTCCTGTGACAGGCGACAGCCTCGCACGGGGGGAGGGGGATACCTTGGGCGAGCGGCTGGGGTGTCCCATTTTCTCTTTGGGAAATATGCTCCCTGCTGCTCCCAGCTACCATGGGCGGAGGGGGAACCCCACAGCTCCCAGCCACCACGGTGGTGGGGGAAACCAGAGAGCCGCAGCAGCAGAAGTCACAGACAGGTCACGGATTCCGTGAATTTGTGTTTATTGCCCGTGACCTGTCCATGACTTT